CATCCCCCAAACATGATACAGTAACATCTTGCTATATCATGACAAGATTTCTGTTGCAAGATAAAGGCAAAAGTACTCCTAGACACATGGTAAAGAAACAACGATTATATTAAGATCTTTCTTCAGCCACGAAATTCCAACAGCTCAAGGTAAGCTACCCATTGCTAAGAAATCACTAGACAATCTGCTATTTTTGTGTCAAGAAACTTAAAAAAAAAATAATAGCTTCTTAGATATGGAAAGTAGTACTCTACCATGGATAATTAATCCATTTTGATAGTATCATCAAGCCTGACAAACAAATAAAGGAATATCTATACCAATACACAATTTTATATCTCATGGAAGTCTAGAAAGGATCATACCATTCTTTTCCCCCATCTTTTCTGAATTCTGGAATAATATTTATAAGTTTCGGAAAATGAAAACTGAAGAACTCAAAAACCATCATATTATTCCAATAGTTTTGAGAACTCCTGCACCCAATTAATCCAGTTCCTGCATCCAGGTAGCTGGAACTTCTTACTACTCATTCCTCACAATGTTTACTTCTGATTGTTGTGCCTGAGACACTTCTATTTGTATTTGCCAATTAAGATTTTTTTATTCTTCAGTTCTAAGAATGAAAACATAGAGATTAAAATATTAAAATGTCATTCTAACAATGATACAATAGACACTATTTGCAAATTCAAGTAACAAAAGGCTTTTCAACACAGCCCAGCACCAACACTTCATAGATTTTCAATATATATGCAGAACTGTGCATGAGTGACTATGCAGAGCCTATTAAAAAAAAAGACATGGACACACTCTATTAATCCTAAAAAGTAAAAGCATCCATTACCATCTCACTCCTAGGAAACAGTGTGTTTAAAACTGATATTATGTCAGCACAGTCTGTTCAGAAATTTATTTATGACAGGAAAATAGCATCCCTGAGAGTTTAGTATTACAAGTGTTAGTAGCAGCAAGCATTTTGTCTTTCTTGTTGCATCAGACTGTAGTTAGTACAGATACCAAACTAGAAAGAGAAGTTAAAGAACAAAGTTAAAACTTAAAAAAGATCTAGAAAGAGAAGTTAAAATCTTGTAACTGATGTTGAAATTTGTTTCATTCAGAAAAGTCCCACTGAGCTGCAGGCTCAAAAAATTTGTGAGTTGACAGGCAGCTGAAATGAGAAAACATAGTTCTTAAGAAAGCAAAGAATTCTCCCTGATTAGGATTCCAAATCATTAGATTTTTTTTCCTGAATAAGAGAAACTGAAGCCATTGTATTAAAAACTTCAGTAAACAGACAACTGTGTCAAGGTTGCAGAATTTCAGTCTTTCTTCCCCAAGACTGAACTCAACTCCCTGAAAATGGAATCCACCAATAATGCCTTCTCAGGTCACCAGAATACATGAAGTCCTTCCAAAGACTTTGCTGCCAAAGGTGCAAACTCCTCAGGTGGCTTCTTTTTTTTCCTTCTGCATATATGATAAGTGGAAAGGAAGTCTGGGTCTGTCCTTGACAATGGAAGAAAGGACTGATGTTTTAAAAGACGCATTCTTTGTGCACCGGTTTTGACACAACGGCTTTTAGTGCGGATGGGAGAAGCCACAGAAGTGGCTTCTGAGAGAAGCTCCTTAAAGCTTCTACAATGCCCAGCAAAGCCAGTCCCTTAAGGCTCTGATGACAGACATGTTTTGACCCAATTAGAGAAGTTGGTAACACCTCTGCAATGACATATTTAAGAAGGCAAAAACACGCTCAAGTCCTTCCTCTTCTTCCGAGAGGCGGGGAGGTGCCAGGGCCATCCCGGTGCTGCAAGCAGCTGCCAAGGCCATGCAGCATGCCATCTCGGGACAGTTTGCAGTGAACTTTGCCTGCTGAAGTGCTTTTAGCCAGCCATGCTTCAGGCAGAAGGGCAGAGGTGGCAACAGTGGCTTCACCTTTTTGGCTCCCCACACGAAGAGAGGCTGTGGAATGGCGCCAGCACAGCCCATGCGCTGCCAGCGGGGCGCATGTGTCCGACAGCAAGGGACATAATGAGCAATTCCCTGATACAGAGCCCAGCACGAGATCAATCTTTCAGTGCTGCAAACCCTGTAAGAACATTTCAACCATAGAACTTGAGAACAAACAAACCTACGGACAACAATTTTCTTCTGAGTCAGCGAAAAATAAAGGTGAGGACACATGAGGAGAACAACATGGTGACACTAAGGCTGGTGAAAGGGAGAAGAGGAGGTGCTCTAATGTCAAGCTGAGATTCTTCTGCAAGCTGTGGTGAGGACTATAATACAACAAACTGTTTCCGGGTAATTCATTGAAGTGCATGGGGGATTCAGAGATCCATTCACAGCCCATGAAAAAAGGTGCTCATGCTGGAGCAGGTGCATGCTAAAAAGCTGTAGTCTAAGAGAGAGCAGACCCTTGTTTCCAGATAGAGGAACCTTGCTTCAAACCAGAGCAGCTTACCCTTAAAAGACTTACATACACCTCATGAACTAAAATGACCCAAACCATGTAGTTTAGGAAGACTGTTTTGCCTGGGAGAGGGATCCACGTTACAGCAGGCTGGGCAGGACTGCTGCTGCTGAAAATTAGAACCACGTTTGGAAAAGTTCACAGAAAACTGTCTCCCATGGGAAGGACCCCACGGCATAGCAGAAAAACAGTCTTCTCCCTAAGCAGATGAAGAAAGATTTCGAGTGAAAAACTCACCAAAAATTCCCACACCTGTAGTGTCAGGGGAAAAGAAGGAGAGGCTGGAGGGAGGAAAAGCATTCTCAAGGTTTTATTTAGTTCTTATCAACCTCTTAATTCTGTTAAAAATTTTTTTCCAGTATACAATTTTTTCTACTAGAAAAAATTTTTTTCTTATACCTTTTTTAAAAATTTGTGCCTGTTTTGCTCTTGGAGTGTTTTCTCCTAATCCTTATCTCAATGCGTGAGCCCTCCAGTTTTCTTCTGCTTCCTCTGTTCAACTGTTAGCAGAGGAATATGAGCGAATAGTTTTCTCGTGGGTGCCTGGTGCTTAGCCAGTGTCAAACCACAACTTTGGCAACCGGGGAGAGCTTGGAAAAAATTTGTACTATTTTTATTCAACTACAGAAAGCATTTAGGCTCCAAACCAATAAAGAATTTCCAGAAGTTTTAAGCTACTACTTCAAAAACTTTTTATCCTTAAATACACACACTATCAGACTCTGGTGCATCCATTTTCTGGCTGCACACCACTTTGGCTGATGTAATTATTTGTTGGATTTTTTTGTGCTCTTTCCAGTTTGCTGCTCCTCAAGACTAATCATTCAGTAAGAGAGAAGACACATTATTTCTTACAAAACATACATGAGGCGAAGTTCATGGACAACTTCTTAATGTTAACAGAACATGAAAAATTGCTACATTCCTGCACACAATCCATCAATTTTGAAAGGATTTTGAATTTCCTCTGACTTGTGTTTGAGATCCACACACTAAAACTGTTAAAATAATCCAGAATAACTCAAAACTTTAGTTGCTCTAAACTGCAACTTTATAGGTCACTTTCTATTTCTATTGTGTCCCATCTTTCCTTAAAATTCCTAAGTTCATAATTTGAGTTATGTGAAGGCGTTTTTTATAAATCTTATTATCAATAATTAGGACAAAAGGCTGCTGGGAGTGAGATTTCACCAATATAAAATCTTCCAGTCATCTGAAAGAGCATTACCAATTTGTGTGAAAGTCGTCTTTTTTACTTTTCCAGCTGAATGAGGAATATTTCTATGTCAACTCCAAAAATCTCTGTTAGTACAGAAATCAACAGTGGCTGAAAAAATACGTACACAACTAGTGCCTTTTAGGTAGGATTAATAAGAAACAGGAGTTTTTTATTTAAGAAACAAATGTACTGTAGGTTGTTAAATGCCACCTTGTGCATTTTTAAAGTCTAAAATTCTCCAAGTAAACAAACCTTTTCCTATTAAATATTAAGGTGCGGTTGTTTTAACAATAAAGTCAACTTACAGCACTTAAAATTTCAGATAACCAAGTGCATTCACTAGCTATCTACCCAAGAAGCAGAACAGTTCTTCCTTCTCAATTGCTTACTTTAGGACTCTTCTCTTTCTATAAACTATTTCAGAGCAAAATTTGCCTTCAGTTTTCTAGACTATTGATCTGTCCTCCCGACAGCCACTCTTAAAGCTATCACTTACAAGCTTGTATGTTTATGCCAACTGAGGCAACATTTGAATGTACTTGGCCAATACAGTCCTGAGTGCAAGCAGGCTTTAAGATGCCTGCATGAGCTGAACCTGGCAGGAGAAGCCCAAGGCAGACAAAACAAAGACTCCTGGTAAATTCGTGCAGAGCAAATCCTGCAGTGAAAGCCTCTTAAGGACATTCAAAAAGCCCCATAAAAACATGGGCTTCTGAGCTCAATACTCCAGCACACCTGATCACTTCATCATTCTCTTATCTGAGACACACATACTTGGCATTAAGAAAACAATTTAAAAAAAATTAGGGAAAAAAAAAAGAGGGAAAAAAAGGAGCAAATACAAGACCAAGCTTATGACTGATGGCAAGTCAGTACTGCAGAATGCCCCAGTATTACTGTCAGGGTGATTGAAGCATTTTCTTTTCCCCTTTGCTGGTTTATGAAGACTCTTCCTGGAAGTAATAAGCTAAAAATACCCCTGATTCTACTTGATCAATTTGGCACAAAGAACATCTGAATTGGTCAATGAAGCCTTTCCTGAGTGGCACAAGAACTTCAAATTCTGTGCTTTAACTGTTACAGTAAAAACTTCGAACACCACACACTGCTAAGCAAAATCACGTTTAGCCTGGAAAGCTTTAAGACTCAAATTGTTTATACCTTGACAAATGCAAATACTTACAATTTGCTAGCTGTTAATGTTCAAGCTTACTCTGAAAATACTTAAAAGTTTCAGTAATGAAGCCGCAGAAAACAGACTATTTAAAATAACAAGTTCTAATATTGAATATCTAAACATGTCATTACCTTCATGGCATGGATTTCTTCTATTAATTCTCAACCCGTTTCTCATTCTTTAATTTCAAGTCTTCTGAACCCCTGCAAGTGAAGTCTATAATTATTTTTAAAAAAATCACAGTTTAGTTACTGTATTTCCTCTCTGGCAACACTAAGTAGCAAAAAAAAAAAAAAGAAAAAAAAATCACGAGATTTGTGCATAAACATAATCCCTTATTGGCAAATGAACATTTTAGCAACGAGCTGAACACAGCCTAATGCTTTTGCTGTACTGTAAAAAAAAGAGGAAACACTGAGGATGTAGCAGAACAATGTTAATGAATGAAAAACAAATGTTACTGTGTCAGAAAATATAAAACCACAATTCGTATCAAGAATAGGTTACACCAGTGTCTCAAATATATTTATATTTTAAGATTCTGAAATATTTAAATATGGAAGTTTATTGGACTTGCTTTCTTATTTTGGACAATTTGCTAAAATTGTGGAGTATCCTCAATTTACAGTATGAACACAGTAACAGATATATCTCACACATCAAGACACATGCTAAGTTATTTCAGGCCATTAATCTTTAAAAACATAATCTACATATACTGTTTAAGCAGTTCATATAAGTAATTAATAGTAATTACTAAAAATCAAGTATGATCTGTATATCTATGCAAATGAAGTATTTTTTGCTAAACAATCCTGAAGACAACGATAGTGAGAAAACTTAGTGCAACTTAAATTCAAAAGCACACTAACATAAAAATATGAAATCCCATACATTCAGATGTGCTGTAAAAGGTTCTGTAACTGATTCAGATTACCTTCCAATACAGTAAATCCCATTTAAAAAGTCATCCCAATTCTGCTTTACGAAACTCCTTTTACTCAGTATTTTTAGTCTAAAATTATGTTAAAATAAGACAAATATGTGTTTTAGTGTCTTAAGTTTTAAATGTAGTACATTTTCTCCAATTTTTGTGAAAACAATTAAAATACTTCCTTATTTATAACCACAAAAACACTATTATTTAAAACTGACCTTTTCAATTTTAATTTCCTAATGTGTCTGGTTAGTCTCCGAAATAGTGAGGACTCTGGCCTTCTTCACATCTTTTCTCATCTTCACAACCTGTGAGAAACATGGAAGACATTATAAACTGTTTTCCTTGATTATATTCTATACACAACACATTTTATTACATCGACTTAAATTTTAGAAATTAGTTTGACAAAGAGAAATAATTTGAAAATAAAGTGCATTTCCCTACTAAGCAAATATAATTTCAAATTAATTCAGATTTCCATTAAAATCAAACTGCTTCCATAAACATCAGAGGAAGAATAACAATGTCTAATAATGTGTCTGAGGTCTAAAGAGAAGACAAGACAGTCCTAACTTGCCATACTTTAATATTATTCTTAGAGCTAGACTCAGCTAGCGGTTTGAAATGTCTCACCTTTTGCCTTTACTTAGCTTATTTTTGTCTCAGAGAAACATCAGCAGTACATTAAGTCCATTGGTGCATAATACATAAAAGCATTTTCATTATTAAACATCTCCAAGTGTTAAGGAAAGACTCTCAAAAAATAAACATTATTTAGTATGGAAAAGAATTTGAGATATTAAATTCTTTTTATAGATTTGAATAATTTTTGTTGAAAACTAAAATCCAACTTGTTTCTAACTCACTACAGTCTGTCTCAACCTGCCATCCTACTCACTAGGTAGGATGTTCCAAGTCTGTTCCCAAATTTACAGCAGGCAGTTTTAAAGAAAATTTGGCAATGCTATTTTGGTCTTAATTCTCACCTCGATAACAAAGAAAGAATTCTCATTATTATTAGACAGATAGGACGAACAAAGAAATCTTTCCAATCCTTTGCAATTAAATTCCATAATGGAAAACCTTAAGTCCAGGTGCTGTCTAATGATGAATGTTTCAGATACAGCGAGTCAATAGTGATCCTTTATTTTTACAACTCAACTTGCCCCTTATTTATTCTATGTCTATTAAAATTTTGTATCTAACAGTTAAACTTAGAATAACATGAAATATTAAAACAAACAAAAACAAAACAAAAAAATTAGTCTTCCTGCCAAAAGCCTAATTTATCTTACATTTATCCAGTGGGATAAGTTTCAAATTTAAGTTGGCACCTCTTTCTCAATAAAGTTCTCTACATCAGATTTCTATTTTAATTTCTCAGCGATACATCAAAATGACAGACTGATGATGACTGCACCATCTAGTCAAGTCAATGAAGAAGTACTATAAACCTACATCAATTTTAAACAAAAAAAAAAAAAAAGAAAAAAAAAAGAAAAAAAAAAGAAAAATCTTCAAAGCCCACAGAGCAGAACTTCACACCTGTGATGAGGAGTCTGGCTAGTACATATACCATAAAGATGTGCAGAGACCAGAAAGATGATCCTTAAAAAAAAAAAAGGAAAGCTGAACACCTATTTTGCATAGCTGATTATGTTTGTAGCTTAGACTAATGATTCAATGAAGTTGTTAAGCCCTGAATGGTGTTCACTAGTGGCTTAACTGAAAGCTGAATTAGAGCAAAACAACTTCGGGAGAGCAGCATGTACTGATTGTCAGCCTTACCTCTGCCAGGCAAGCAAAGTGAAGCAGTGCTCCTCTGAGAAGCAAGGGAGGGGAATTGTATGGGGGGCAGTCACTTGTATGGCATTAGTCACTTGCACCATGAAAAGTAAAAAGGTAAAGATTTTTGGGATAAAAACAAATGACCTAGAAATGGTATCCTGTTGCAAAAAATTGTTACAGCAAAGGTCAGTACTTACCTTAGTAAAAGTAACTGTACACACAGATCTACCTACAAAAGCATTTCCATTTCAGTTAACAGCAGAAACCACATGCCAAAAAGCACCAAGTGCCAAGTTTCTGTTACAGCAGCACTGTCCAAGACTTTAACATGCTAAGGAAGAAACCCATTGCATCACGATTTGCCATCAAGGCATTTATTTTTTATAAGACATTCAATGAGATTATCATAGGTCTCTATAGTACATCTCCTAAAAGGAAGAAAGAAAAAAATGCAGCTTCTGTCTGAACACCTCTTTGATACTATACATACATACTGGTACATTCAATGGAATGTTTGCAATATCAGAAGTAAACTGGGTATGCCTTCGTAGAAGGTCTGGGATGGGGAGATTGTTTTGTGCTTGGGTTTTTTAATTCTCTATTTTTTTAACAACCACTAAAACCATCCACAAGCTGGAAACATACTGAAATTTAAGTAACTCATACTTTACATATTAGTTATTGTGTATGCAAACATGAAGTATATTTAACTTTCTCTCAAAAATATTTTGTCAGGTATTCTTTAATAGAAGTATTAATGCACACAAAGCATGTTTCCAGGGCCTACAAGAGCCAAACTTCAGCCTCCTTTGCTGCCAGCCAGTGAAGGCTGTATAGACATGACAGCAGGAATGAGGGAAGGTATTCACTCCTTGGCAGACTAGGAATATCAATTTATGTAATCCAGTAACTTCTTTCACACGGGACAGTATGCATTAACTCTGTTCTTGGAAGTACTCATAATGTTCTCAAGAAAGCAGTCAGCTCTTTGGGAAAGAAATCAAAAAAGTTTAGCTTCAAATTTACAGTGTGCCTGAAACAATGGGGCTTAGACCACCAGAGTAGGCCCTGGTCGCCTCTATCACAAGAGAGGCAACTTTGCCATCAGCAGGAAAGAAAATCAAACTAAGCCAAATCAAACAAAAAAAACCCCACCAAGAATAATCATGACTTTCAAAAAATAATAACAAACATTTATTCATAATAAAGTATTTTTATAAATAATTCAAGAAAAGACAGAAAAGGAGAAGTATTTGCACTGAAACATAAAAAGGCTGCAGTCTAGGTCAGGATGAGACTTTATGCTTCAAGACTAGGCAATAAGGATTTTTAGTCTACTCAGCAGTGACAGTAAGCACTAGAAAATAATTATAAACAAGTAAAACACAAACCAAACAATTTTTTCTATCAATAGGATCTAGGATTCCTGGAAATTAAGGAAGTCTGCAGTTGTATGTGGAAATAAACGCTTCAAGGATTTCTTTGAACAAACAATAAGAGATGTTTTCCGTTGTTGACGACATTTCTTTATTTTGTTGGGAAATGCTACTTATGAGACAATTAAACTATTCCTACTCAATGCTACCAAATGTCTGTGTTCGCACATTATTAATCATAGATAATATCAAAGTAAGAGTAGATATAGACTACTTATCAATTATTAAATGCAAAAGAATGAACTTATTTTGAAAATAAGCCTAGGCAGAAACATACAGAATGCACATAAGTATATTTTAAAAGCTATGGTTATGAACAAAACCCATCCATTTGGCTCTGTGCCTTTTCACAAAAACAATGTATTTATATTACTACTGATGCTTAACAAAAATGAAGTCCAAAAAATTCCATGACTGGTGGTATTCCACAAAGAGAGCCATCAATCAGCCCAACAGCTTTCCACCTGCAGTAAGCACTGCCACAAGTGTTGACACGTACCAACCAGCTGCACCCAATCCATTTCAAGCCACAGGCAGATGGTCGCTGCTGCTGCCCTTTCAAGAAAGGGCAAACAAAGAACACAGCAGGGGATCAGCAGATGACAAGCCAGACAAGAACTAGAAACTCTCAAGCATTTCACCTTTTCCAAGGAGTGCATATTACTGAGATTGTAACAAGAATTGCTAGCTTCAGTGCAGCCTACATTAATGTGATACTTGGCATAACGATCCCAGTACTCGTCTGGCATTAAAAATGGCCCCAGCTTTAATGTACAGGTACCACTGACACAGTACAAAGACATCAGAGTATACATATCAAACCAAGAGGGTGATTTCTAGCAAATAATAAAGAAACAGTGTGTGTTTAAAGACATCACAAGAACTGTATTTAACCCAGAATGCACAGCTGAGTAAGAGAGAAACTAATAGCTTCAACTACTTTGCTTTCTATTTCAGGTTACACGGGTCCAAACAGTTTAAAGCCAATCCCATAGATTTGTCTTTCTGTGTAGTAGTTCAATGAGACCTTCCCAAGCCTCAGCATATGCAAGCCCTTCTCCTGCCCAGAAAGAAACTGGCACAGGATTTCTTAATTGTACCTTTGATCTCTTAGTCCTCTTTACAGCTTTTCCATGAAGTAGCTCCATTTTGACACTGGTATTTCACTTTTAGTTACAAATTAATTTTGACTAACAAAAGTCTTGGAAGAGCTGAATCGGTTCCTAAATCAGTGTTAGACAGTGCTAGGAAAGGGCTTCTGATCAAAGACATTACCCCTTTTAAATAAATGGGACACTTATTGTACATAATACAAGACAAAACACATGTACAATAGAATAGGAAATTATTTTAAGAGCCTTCCACATAATTAAGCTGTTACAAAAAACTTCTTTGAAAATTTTCAAGTTTCTTTAAGAGAAATGTAAGGTATTGTTAGATAAAACAACATCAAGAAGTCTAGTTTAGGTTCTGAAAGTCTGTATGACTACAGAACAGTCCTCATATTAGGGATGGCAAGAAAAACACTAAGGAATGTGGATAAAATGACAGCATAGGTACAATTATACATTCAAATTCACATGACTAGTTAAAGATATTTGCCTTCACATTTTTAAGACAACAGCAGCAAAGTTCTCAAATGAGCATTACATTAGAATAAAATGTTGTACTTGGCCACTTCTGAAACTTGTTTTGAGGTCTGTACAAGCAACATGACTCCAAACTAAGCTAGTGTTCAGCCAATTAGAAATAAGGAAAGTGTGACTAAAGATTTGTAGATATATCAAGAAAGGTACGTGTCTACTCTGAACTACAGTATCAACTGTACTTGACAAGAAAAAATCCCAAACCCAAACCATTACTAAAAAAAATTCCAGTGGATTAAAAGACACACTAATATGTTTCTACCTATGACTTGTTTTAACGTATTTTATTCAAACAACACTGAAATACTGGAACAACTGTGAAGTAAAAGCTTTTTTTTTTAATATTACCACTTACAAAAGCTAATACTGAATATCTGAAGGACCTAGAATATTTTAAATTCTTCTTAACTAAATTTAATAGAAGTTAACTTACAC